GTTTAAAATATCTCTCTTTTTGTGCAGAATTTGATGAAATATGAGGTCCAGGGCTACAGCCACAAAATTCTGCAACAAAATGAGAATTCCATAGAGTTATAGCCATAGCTATGAATCTATAGCTGCAGCCATGAGAAGACAAAGTAATTAAAGCAATCTAGATCTCCACAACTGCAACCGTGAATCCATAGCTACAGCGATGAGAATAAAAATCATGAATTTCCCTTATTTTGAAGACACATATAAAAGGAGATTTTGGGGGGAGACTTAAGGGAACGAATAGAGATCAAAAGAAAGAGAGACCCAAGAGAAAACAGAGCATAAGGAAGACGTGGGGAACGGATCACTTGGGAACAAGGAGCCTTCAATTCTTCCTCTTCTTGTAATTTCATTTTGTATCTTACTATGACCCTCACCATGAGTGGCTGATTTCTCTTGGATTGGATTCGATGTAATTACTAACTCTATTTCTTCTTGAGTTTATATGATATTTAATTACCTTACTCATGTGTGATTCTAATCTTAATGCTTATTTTGGCTTGATCACCCATTTTATGAACTAGGGTTTGGAATTTTGTTGGGAAATAATTTCTTAATTTGAACTGAATCATCACACTTAACAAACTCTGGTACTAGGAATAGACTTGGGTTTGTTAGTCACTTATGTTTAAGTTGTTGTTCTTAATGCAAAGTGTTATTCTTAATCATAGAGGAATCATGTTTTAAGACTAACTACCTTAGGACTTAATTTTGAGGGATCTGGTTAAGTTACTCAATGAATATGGAAGTAAGATAGTTGAAATCATATTTACTCATTGAAGATAAAGTGTTAGCAAGTGCATTTGAATCTAATCTCTTTCTTGCATAAGGTTTTCTACTAAATTTTACTCTATTTGCTTTTACTTATTTTTATGCAAGAATTAGATACTTACTTATTTCTCTTGAATACACTTAGTCATATATTTTTAGATTTTATTCTCATAGAAATCTATTTCTTTTGAATAGTTATTTCTTTTTAGTTTAGCAAAATTTATTATCATAATTTCTTTGCTTATATTCATTAACAATTAGGTAATCAAGTAGCAATTCTTAGTAACAGTTCCTGTGAATACGACACTTAGTACTCTATTTATTTTGTAATATTACTTTGACAATAGGTGCACTTGCCCAATAATCAATTTTTATACATCATAGGTCAAGACATGATTAGCATTTCAATTATTCAAGTGTGGTTAATGTAAGTTCATTATTTTTATTTAATTTCTCAATTACGTTATCAAGCACTAATACTTTATTCATATTGGCACTTTGTAGTTACCTACATCAACAATTCGTTTCAAAAGGGGTGGGTATTTTGCATGGATTCATTGACATGGTACAGCTTTAGAGCTTAAGGAACAAGCTTGAAGCTATTCAGGCATACATTCAGAGAAGGTTGTGTGAAGGATCTAAGGGTGTATACCTTGCACTATATTATTATGGGTAAGTATTTCCTAAATAGCTTTTTAAAACATTCTTATCACTTTTCCTAATTAGGCTTATATTTGTAGGAGTCATTGGCAATTGTTAATCCTTTGTCCTCAACATAACGAAGTCATCTTTCTGTGCTCGATATGAAATAAGCCTGAGAAAAATATAAAAGTCATTATTGATGTGTAACTACTACAAAACTTGCATTATACCATTATAATTTTTTTTACCTATCATATATCACCTAACATATAGTTTTAACTTCATCATGTATAGCTGTATGGAAGCATGCAATGTGATGGAGGCGAAGCATGTCATGAGAAAATAACCTACATAGATATGCCCAAGTGTACCTAAATCATTTACCTTAGATTCAATATTTAATATTTATATTTTTACATAACTTATTATATTGTATAATATTATTATGCTTATTTTTCTTCTAGTCACACAAACAAAAGGAGAGTTGGGAGTGTGGATACTATGTGATAAAACACATGCTGACTATCATCATAGCAACCATTACCGATTCCTGGACTTTGGTACTTATAGTTTTTTCTTTAAAACAAATTTGCTTGTTATTATAGTATTTAAAGTCTTACAAGTTTAATATATATTTTTAACTTGTAGACATTCAAGGATGTTGATCTAATTCCTGAGTAGGAGATTAATGATATAGAAAGACGTTGGGCACGATTTGTTTTAGAATTTAAATCTTGACTTGTTTGTAAAAGTTGGTGAATTTTTAATATAATTCTGGAACTTTGTGTGTGAGTTTCTATGTTTCAAGTTTTGATTTTAATGCAAAACAAAATTCCTATAAGAAAAAGCAAGATATTTTACATTTGTAAGACTATAACCGATAAAAAGTATGTTGACTAAAATATTTTAGAAATTACAAAAATTATATGAATCTTAATGATGCTTATACTTTTGTAATTCTAAAAGATTAAGTGAGGATATTTTTAAGTATATTAAAGAGTATATTCTTAGCATTTTCTATGATTCATTTTAATATAGATATGAAAAGGACCCACGGAAGTTTTAACAACACGCTCTTCGTCTTGAAGAGTGGAAAATATACCTTCAGTTAAATACATTGCAGAAATAAATTTCTGGAAATATTCTTAAATATTATTTCATAAATTTATTTTTAAAAGTATTTTTAAATACAAATCTTTAGAAGCATGTAATAATAATTTTTAAAACTAGTTTCCAAAAAGTTTTTCATTCAAAAAATTATATTTCAAAAATTAAATTTCAGAAGTTCTTAAAACATACTTTTGGAAGTTTATTTTAATACCGTCAGATATTAAGTTTCCAAAAAATTAAAATCACATCCTTTATCAAATAAAAAAAAAATTAAGGGCTGGTTTATTTTCTCTTTGAAAATTTATTTTTTTATTTTAAAAAATAAAAAACAAAAAAACTTATTTGTTAATATAAATTTTAAAAGCTATTTTTAAAAATATTTTTTATTTTCAGTTTTTAAAACAGAAAAACAAAATTAATGCCGAGGTGTTTTTGTTTTTATTTTTCTATTTTTTTTCTTAAAACAAATGAAAGTTCATCTAAAAACAGTTTTTAAAATTAAATTACCAAATAAATTTTATTTTATTTGGTAAATAGTTTTATAAAATTATTTTAAAATGTAATTTTTAAAAATAAAAAATCAAAACTAAATTAAACCCTAAGTTTTCAAGAAATTAAATATTTTTTTTATTCTTAGTTCGCTCTTAGCATTGATATTAGAATAACGTCTTTTCTCAAATTTGACTATTCTTTCCACCAAGTTTGATAATGTAATACAATTAGCGTTAAGCAAATTCACACTTATAGAGCCTCTAGAGGTGATGATTGTGGAATTGACACATTTATAGAGCCTCTAGGAGGTGAGTACTATTAATATGAAATTTGTATAGGATTCTATATGAAAATAGACATATTAGGACAAGCTCTTTTTTAGGTATTTGTAATAATTAATATTATCCCCCTGCTTGGAATCTTGGCGACATTTTTGTCCACAAATATATGATATTATATATACTCTTTTTGCATTCGTTATCTACATGTTGCAGCCTCGATTTTAATTTGTGTCGGACTCTGTGCACTAGCTATATTATTTCTTGCATGCGAATAAAATATACTAACTTATATAGTATGCTATGGAATTATTTTTAAAAAAAATTAAAAATACTAAATAATTAAAACTTTTGCTATACTTATTTTTTTCATAAACAAAATTCGAATTTGGTAATTTACTATGAGAAATTGTAAAACTTGTGTTTGGTAATTTACCATAATATATTCTTTTAAGGGAACTAATCTTTGACAGCTGCACCAAAAGGTTTTAGAATTGAATTCATGCATTTAATAATTAGAATTTTACAAATTACAGTTAATTTTTTTTTCGGTATTTGGTTTGCTTCTGACATTCATGACGTTGTGGAACTATATATCACATAGGATTCCTTTAAGCAATTAAAAAGTTGACCGACAGAGTAGAATAGCAATTATCGTTTAAGGTGTAACATTATATTGTTATCCCTTGTTTTAAATTGTGTTGATAATTAAAAAATATCATTTTAAAAAACAAATAATTAGACAAAATAAAGTATAAATGAAAGTAAAGTTAGATAAAAAAATAATAATGTTTTATATTTTCATGACAATATAATTTTTCATTACTCATCGTAAGAATAGAATAAAATAGAGTATTAATAAATAAAACTCAAAACTGATTTTTTAAAGCTCATAATGAACATAAAGATAGTTAATTTTCAAACTTAAATTCTTCAAAATAAATTTATAAACCTTGAAACAAACGCAATAAATATTAGTTAATAAAAAGAAAATTAAAAGAGGGAATTAACCATCGTAGAAAAGAGAAGAAAAAGAAAGAAGTTAAAAGATATTATTTACTAACAATATATTTTCACCTATTTATTTATTAAAATATTATAAATATTTGAGTTTTGCATTTGCTATGTTGCTTGGCTTGGTAGAAGTGCTATTAGAGAGGAATAGGAATGAACTCAAACGAAAATGGATTGGATTGAGTTAAAGGTAATGATGTATATATAAAAAAGTCCAATATACCTCATGAATGAGGTATTTTTCTAGACTTACATTGACTACAACATTGCTTTTCAAGAACTTATAAATTGTATGACAAAATTTAGTGATATTTTGTAAATATTTAGTGTGTCATTTTTTAATTAAAATTAATGTTATTTACTAATTTAATTTTTTATTATCAACTTTTAGTACATTTAATGAGATAAAACTTCAATTTGACCGACAACACTTTTAGTTCAAGATCATAAGTCTTGTTTTTATATTTTTGATTTTGAAATCCGTTAATTGTGTTGTACTTCGACATTTTCAAGACAATTTTATATTATTTTTCTTAGACAAAGTGAATAAGACCAGTAACATTCTAATAAATGCGTTAGGTCATTGAATTATTAAAAATAGCAGTTGTGCTTTGAATAAAAGGTAAGAAAAAAAATGTAAAAATGATTTCTTAAATCCAAAGTCAATGAAAATGTTAGTAATTAGATAAATTTAATGTAAAATACAGAGTGATAGATAGAAATAACGTCAATGCTTCCTCAACAACAAGGTGTATGTTAAATACTATTGCACATACATATTGAACATTCTTATTAAAACAAATATGTTATTATTGTGCAAAAGGAATTAGATATTGTCCTCACAATTTTTTCTATCTATTATCTAAAAAAGCTATGAAAGCATAGTATTTAGAAAATATGAACACAAGACACACATAATCCAACTTGTATTGGGCAAGTACCAGGTTAATTTTAAGGAAGAAACTGGATTTTTATGGCTGTCTTCTAGAAAAACGCTACCCCATTACAATGACCAAGACAATACCATAACCAAGAACCAAGCCCAATAGATATAGTCACAACAGCAAAATTAAAAAAAAAAATGTCTCATCAACTCAAGTATCTCTATTTGTTTAATCTCTATGCCAACTGAATTATTGGTATATTCATGTCAAGTATCTGCATAAAATTATGGAAGAAAGAAAGAAAATTTATTAACATGTATTATTTTAACAAATATTTTGAAATTGTTCAGTGAAAAGCATGATATACAAGACTTAAAACACATAAACAAAATATTAATAGATAAAGTAACAAAACCTTTCTGAATACATCCAATCTTGAAGTGTTATTTTATAAATGATAAAACATATTATCTTAAGCTATAAATAATTGAGCTTCTAAAATAATTTTTATAATGTTTTTAATTTTAAAAAATTCTCTTTAGTTTGATCTTATTTAATAAAAATAAATATTTATTTATTGATATTTATAAAATTCATTAAATTAATTTTTTTATTTTATTTAAAAATGTATTTATTTTTAATAATACCTGTACAATGCATTAAATACACGGTTAGTATTAATTTGAAGACAGACTCCAATATCGTTTAACAGTTGAAAAATAATTTTATTAGAATAATTTCTATTTAACATTGAAACAAATGCATGTTAACTCACAGCTATTTAAAAGTATTTTGTTAGTAAAGCCAAAACAGTTGAGTAAACGATGTTTACATTAAAACAAAAGCAAAAACTGTTTTGATATTGTAAATAATTAATTCGTCTTTAAAAAACTAAACAGAAACCAGTTGAAAGAAAAGGGTATCAATACCTTTATGATCAGTCATCATGAAGGATTTTTCGTGGGATGTGTGCGATTTGGCGACTAACAGCACTTGTCTCTGTTCTGCATTCTTTAAGTAAGAGGGGACAATTCTCGACCTCAAAGATCTTTAAGTTGGTAAGACGACTCATTCCTTCGGGCAGCGATGCCAAGTTTCGGCAGTATTCGATTTTGATACGCTGAAGCGACGAGAGGTTGCAAATCCAATCTGGCAAAGCCTTTAGGTTTCCACAGAAATATATCCTGATTTGTCGCAGAGAAGGAAGGCAGTTGGTGTCGTCCTTAAACCAAGTCTCAAATTCCTCCAGTGTTTCATTTTCAGACCATATAATTTGAAGAGACTCGAGAGGAGTCAGATTTTGCATCCAACCCTTTGGAAAATCAGTAGGACCAGAAATAGTCAATTGTTTGAGCATGGTAAGAGGAGCAGCGGAGGAAGATGAGTCCGCTGAACATGTTGACACTGTTGAGTTTAGTGTTGCTATTAATGGCTCTGCACTCGATCTACGCAACTCTAAATCCTTAACTTTTGGAAAAGCAGGCATGCAAGTCAACTTTAGACAGGAAGAGACATGTAGTTGAGAAAGACGAGGAAATGAGAGAGGTAAGGAGAGATTATGTGCATTCTCATTGATATCAACTCCCCGTCTCCGCCATCCCCTGAGATTAGAGCAAAACTCTAATTTGAGGCTCTCCAAAGAGGGGAAGAAGGTTACTGCACAACCATCTTCATCAAGATCTATGTATTCCAATCGACGAAGATACATTATCTCAAGTGACTTCAGGGACGGGAGACGTTCCAACGATGGAAGACAGCAACAATTATGAAAGCCAGAGAGAGAGATGTGAACAACATTTGTGAGGAGAGAAAGCCAAGTTGGGAAATGCACGCCTGGATACCTCTTCACATTCAATTGCTTAAGATTATGGTGGGGCCGAAGGTTTTCTAATAATTGGAAGCTGTCACTGTTACGGTTGGCTTCACCGAGCGAAAGCCAATCTAGAGTCAAGGACTGAAGAAACTTTTTTTCTTTTAAATTTACATCACGTGATTCCAGAGCCACGTCTCTAACACGACGGAGATGCTGAATTTCTAATTTGCCTCTTAGGGTTAAGTCCTTCAATTCATTTAGTGTGCCATATCTTGTTTCTTGGCTATCTCTCACGACAAAGATGGGTAAGAATTGCAACGAAGATAATTTTCCCCACCCAACTGCCATCTCACTCAAGGAGTGGTAATCAACCTCAAGCCATCTCAAATTCACTAATTTTGTGACCATTTCAGAAAATGATTCTTCATCACAGTTCTCCAATTTTAATGTTTGTAGGAAAACAAGATTGCTCATAGATTTGGGAAGACTTGGTGGGTGTTTAAATGCTTCAAGGTATCTTAAATGCTTCAAATTTTCAGTGGAACCAGAGAGATTGAAATGGAAAATTCGACCCATACTCAAGACGCGTAAGTATTTGAACTTTGCAATAACCGACAAATATTTCTCCTCTACAAAGTTATACGGCAAAATCAAAGTTCGCAGCCTGCTTGGGTCTAATGATTCCAACAAATGAATGGCATTGGATTCCAATGACACGTGCATGGGTCTACCCTTAACTTCTGTTGCTTCACTGTCCAAGTAACAATAATCATTGCCAGCAACCATCTCTGCAAGATCATGCATTAAATCATGCATTTTGAAACTAATGATCTCACCGTATTCATCACTCAGTGCATCTTGAAAAATTGAGTTCACCAAAAAAATCTTCACAAATTGGTTACCAATATCTTCGACGTGCTGCTCTTTAGTTGAACATATAAGGTAACCCTGTGCCATCCATAACTGAATCAACTCATTCTTTGAAATTCTTGAATCTTTGGGATATAAAGAGCAATAAGCAAAACATTGTCTCATTTCTGGGGACAAGTTTTCGTAACTGAGTTTTAGAATTGGCATGATACTAGTTTGCTCTTCACATAATTTCCAGAAGTCACCGCGTAAAACATCTTCCCATTCACTTTCTTCATTTTGTCCTCGTAACAGGCCTCCTAGCGATTTAACTGCCAGTGGGACACCTCCACATTTTATTGCTATTTCTTTCCCCGTTGATTCTAGATTTTGATTCACTCCTTCGGACTCATCCTCAAATGCAATGTTCTTCGACAAACTCCAAGATTCTTCATCGGTCAAACCTTCCAAAAGATAGGAAGTGCTGCCAGTCATTGCCTTTGCTACTTTTTTACTTCTAGTTGTCACTAAAATCTTGCTATCTTGAGCTCCACACATCAAGTACTTTCTCAATTCAGCCCATTTGTCATGTCTCTCATTCCAAACGTCATCGAGGACCAACAAATATTTCTTACCACTTAAATTTTTCTGAAGCTCTTTTTGCAACTTCTCTAATGGTTGGTCTTGTCTTTGGCCATCAGTAATTGAATCTAATATTTTCTTCAGAATAGTTTTCACGTCAAAGTTATCAGAGACACACACCAACATTTGCATTTCAAAAAAATCCTTCACTTCCAAGTCATTATACACCAATTGTGCAAGAGCTGTCTTCCCTAAACCACCAATGCCAACAATAGCAATCACAGAAACTTTTTGCTTTCCATGCGGTTGTCGCAACAAACTAATAATCTCCTTTTTACTATCATCTCTTCCAATGATATCAGACTCTAATACACAAGAGCTTGTTTCCCTCCATTCACTGTTAGTTTGCTTTTCCACCACAGATCTTGGGCTTAACTTTAAATCGTTCATTTCTTGTACTACACCATTAAAACTTTCTCGGATTTCTTTAATTGTGTAAGGCATTTCAGTGGGTAAAGGAAATTGATTTGAAGATGAAATGGAACGAAGTACCTTGTTTACTTCCTTTCCTCCTGCTGCATTCAATTTGTCTCTCGTAAATTCGATAGCAAGGTGATCTAAGAAGTTATCTGCAGCATGAAGTACTTCTTTGAAGTCAAATATCCAATTACGCACACGAACTTGTTCTTGTTTGTGGTCAGCGTCAAGGAGCACATCATTGATAGATCCAATTGTCTTCTTAAGCGCTTCCAACTCTTCCATCATACCATACCCCTCATACTCCTGTCCAAATTCAAGAAAATCTGGGGAAGCTAACCTCTGAATAAGATCTGATGCAACTGCAAATGGAACTGACTCATACTCATCCATGAGAGAAAGAAAACCATGAAGAAGGGTTGATAGTGATATTGAAAGAGAGGAATGCAATGTGTAAACACAGTGAGGAAAGGAGCACAAATGTATAAAATGAAATGAATGATGAAGCAATCTCATCCACACGTACCATATCCTTAGCTGGCCATTTTCTCAAACTCGGACTTCTTTTCTGAAATTCTAAATGAAATCACTAAAATGAATTAATGAAATACCAAACGAAATAAACACGATCTAAACTCATACTTCCATTGATTCTTTACACAAGCATATTAATTTTGTCAATTATTAAGTTTGATGTGCATGATATTTGCAAAAATATTTTTTAATTATTTATAATTTAAGTTTTTTAGTTAACATATTATTTTCAAAGATTAACTATTTTATTATAAAAATAAATTGTGTAATAATTAAATAGATAATGTAATGTTAATGAATGAAACTTATTATAATAAATCATACAGTATCAAAAAAGATATTGAATATATTGAAAGACTAATTTAAAATTAAATCCTCAAACGAAACACATACCAATCTTGAAAACATACTAAAATATTTATTTCACATTTTTAGTCAATCATGAATTCAAGAAATATGTAGTGGCACTCAAAATTCTTGAAGACTAATTTTAAAATTAAAATCCTCAACCTAATTAGTTTATGATTTTTGCTTTAAGACACCGATTAAGAAATTAAAAAAATGTACATGTTTTTTTTTTGTTGAGAATTAAAATAGAAATACACTGAAAATCACAATTGATGTGCATTTAATAGTATTTTTTAATAAAAAAAATCTCTTTCAATTTATCAACAGCATATTTCTTCTGTGAATCTAAGTGACAGCTAATTGATTTCTATGAGAGTTTATGTAAACATAATTTAATATTTGAATCTGTTAACTTCAGAACAAAATTTATCCCTTTTGTTATAACATGATCAAATTTTTGTACTATATTTGTCCTGACAATAAAATATATGCATTATACTTTACTAATTCATTTATTTTCAGAAAAGAAATTAAACTTTATTTATAAAATACATTTTTTTTATGATCCTATCTAACTCAAATAATATTACTTTCAGTTGAAATAACTTTTTTAAAAATCAAATAAAAATATTAAATTATTTGTTTATTTTATACAATTCAAATAGAATATTAAAAATGACAATAAAAAATTCATTATAATTATTTTATATAATCTTGTTGAATTTAATTAAAATACATTAACAATGTAAAAGTTATTTACATTATCATTTAATCATCAACTGACACATTATTAACCATATTGATTTTTGTAATCAACTTTTATAATATAAATAAAAATATACTATATAAGAAGTGAAATATTTATTAGAGCTACTCTCCTTTATAATTCGTCACATGTATATTCCAAGATTCAAATTCTAATAAAGGGACTAAAACAAATAACAAATTACACGTTTAAGGATTAATTTTTATTTTTTTTCCTTTGAGGAACCAAATAGAAAGATTGCATTACTTCAATTTAAAGATCATATCTCATATGTGTGGGTGTGTATTATTTAGAACTTTTTGTTGTCAACTTCGTCTAATTTTAGAGTGAAAAATATAATTTGAATAAATATTAATGTGAACAATCAAAATCAAAATTCAGTATATTTTTGTCTTTATTGAAATTTAAATCTAAATACAGAGAATAGAGCATCCTCTCTTCTTCTTTTTTCCGTGTTACTTACGAAATTATTTTATATTAACAAATTTTTTATTGATGTATAAATTAAAAATATAATCTTACATAAATTAAAACTATAAAATAAAAATATAATTAATTTAAATACAATGAAGATAAATAATTTATATTTACTTATAAATAACAATTAAAGATATGCAGATAAACAACGAAAAATCGTTCTCATTCTAATTTTTGTCCTTAATTTTGTTCAGCGGAGAGACAAGCAAGCTGATAATAAAACAGGACCCAACTTATCCCACTAAAAACATGTTCTAATATGATGTTAATTCTGACAGGTTCATTTCAAAATTAAAATCGGTGTATTTAGAGAACGGATTCGCGTTCTAATTAATTCGAGTTGTATTATTATGTATTATTATTGACACTTTTAGACTTAATATATAATATTTTTCATATTATAATATCATATTTTATTTATATTATTTGTTTTAAAATCATGCTGTGAAACATAATTTAATTTTAATTTATACTTCATTAATTCTATGATTTAGCTATATATAATATAAAAATTAAGGTATTTGAATAAAGTGTTTGTTGTGGTACCATAAAAATTTTTTATGGGTATCATACCCAAAAAATTTATACCAATAAAAAAGAGAAATATGACAAGTTAAAAAAATATTATTATATATAATATATTTAAAATTATATTAATTATATTATTTATTATATGATCCTATTATACATATATATTTAATATTAAATTTTTTATTTTATTATTTTATTATTTTTTATAAATTTTTTTATTTCAAATAAAATATAATTTATATTTAAGTAATTTTTATTTATATAAATAAAAAGAATTATAAATAATATATTAATTTAATAATTAAATATTAATAATAATAAAATTAAAAATATATTAATATAATATTTTTATTTTATTTTTAAATTTTAATTGATTTAATTTTGACTTAGATATTCTTCAATTTATTTAATTATAATAAATATAATAATTTATTATTAAATAAATTTAATATTTTAAAATATGTCTAAATATTATTAATTAAAAAATTTCATGTTATGATACCACAGATTTATTTATTTTTTATAATTATAAATTCGGTTGATCCGGTCTGGTCCCACTTTACTCGAGTACCAAAATTGATTTGAGTCAAACAGGACACAAATAAACTTGTTGGACATACAAAAAAGAAAATAAAAAAATCCGGTTACATGCAGTATGTTAAATTTTAACATTTATATTATTTAATAATTTTTATAAAATATAAGATTAAATAATTTAATTATTAATTTAAAGTTCTTATTAAGTAGATTAATTTGATAAAAGAATAAAATTATCAGAAACTTTATTACAGTATATTATTTGAATGAGTGATATATTTTAAAATAGAAATAAATGTTGAATTTTTATAGATATACATGTTTACGAAGAAAATATGAGATTATTCAACTATTGAATTGGTTAATTTTACATGAAGAATTATTAAGTAATATAAATATTTAAATTTAATATTTTGTGTTGACTAATCCAATCAGTTGCTTAAATTCATGAAAATAAAGATAAGATAATAAAATATAAATTTACTATGATGATAAAATGCAGGAATTATATTTCATTTATTACTAATTTTATATTTTAGTCATAATATAGTTTGAATAAATATTAAAGTTTTATGATACATTCTTATTATATTTATTCATTAGATTCTTTTCACTTGAGATTCTAAAATAAATTTATTGAATGATAATTTTTTACCTAAACAACAAATAATCCAGCATTAACAACAAGAGTTATAATAAAACACCTTATATTTTCATTCCAAATACATGCAATCTTTTGTATTTTATTGAAAACAATTAAATAAATTTCGTTCCAAATAGATATTGAAATGAATTAAAACTTTTTCTGTATATAAATCTTTTTACTAAAACATTGTCTCATGCGATGAATGAATGAAATAAAATATAACTTAAAAAGTATATTTCATTAATGATGGAGAACAATTATAAGTGTCACACACATATGTATACAATATCAATTTAAAACTGTTAAACAAAAATGGTAGGATTTAAAAAAACATTTACATAATAAAATATAGTAAACTCGATAAGCAGTTACAATCCTACAACTGGAAGAACTAGGCATATAATGCTAATCACTCCCACTGTTTCAACCCTCTATATAAGCGATATCCTCAATCGTTAATTCATGGTCCTCTTCAGGATCGGCCTGCACTTCTATATTGGAAAAACTATCAAAGGTATAACGAGTAGGTCTTCCTTAAAGTTTATGGTCTTAGAAGGCCTTTTACAATACCTCGGTAAACAAAAAAGCTAAGTATAGATTAATTCTGCTATTTATCGAAAAGTCAAAGGATACATCATATTTTTACATAATTGTTTCTTCCCAAAATCTATATTAAAACGAAACTAGTTTACGATATTCTCTAAAAGCATAATTTAAAATATTATCAGCAACATAATTTACTAAACTAATCCTTGTCTGTACAATTGTCATATGTGAATAACCAATTTTATCTAAGTCTTTTTTAAAAATAATTTGTAAAATAAAAAATTAAATATAATTTGATCTTTCAAGAGGTTAAAAAAATAGAAAAACTAATTTAAAATTTAAATTTAAATTTTTAATTTTTAAATTTAAAATTAGATTTAAAAATTGTCAAAGTAAATTGTAGATTTTTTTTACTGATTATTAGAAAATAAGGGAGTTTTTATTAAAAATAAATAAATAAATAGGATCAAGGGTTTTAGAAATGTCTATAAATAAGAAACTTATGTCTTCAGAGGGGAGACTTTTTAGGTGGATACTTTTTATTTTTATGAGACATCTTTGAGAGAGAGCCTAAGAAACAAAGAGCAAAAAAAGAATAGAGGATCAGAGAAAACTATTTGACAGCACCAAAAATTCTAAAACACATCTCGAGATCGATTACAGAGAACAAATTGAAAGAGAGATCCAACCACAAGGGAAAAAAGAAGGAGAGATCCAATCATAAGAAGAGATCCTTTTATTCTTTGGTTTGTTTCTCATCCTCCCTTTATATAATAAAGGTTTTCTCCATTTGTTCATTTTCCATCCTCCCTTTATCTAATAAAAATTTTCCTTCTTTGTTCATTTCTCATCTTCCCTATATTTATTAAGAATTCTCTTTCCTTGTTTATTTATTTTATATGTTTTTCTCTTCTTCTTCATGATCTAACACTTTTTTGTAAGTGTGATAAATAAATAAATAAATAAAAAGAGAAAATTAAGTAAAATTCCTTTTTTTAATTTTTTAATAAATTCTAATAATTTTTCTAACCCTAAATTACTTCTCCCTCAGTTAAACCCTAAAAAAAATTTAAATCCATAAAAATTAATTTTTTTTCTAACTCAAAGTATTA